GTGAGCTGATTTGCAAACCCCATTTATCCGATATGTGCCCTAGGATCTCGTAGTGCCTGCAGCAATGAATTTGTACCAAAATACACCTCACAAGTAAAAGGTAAGCAGGGCCAGCTGTGGTAGCCAACGGATGGCTGATCGCCAGTCGAGTCCACGCACCCCAAACCCAACCCGCCCTTCTGTGATATTCATCTGCTGCATATGTAGTAGCTCGGAGGGCCTTATCTCATTGCGTACTGGTTTGTTATTTGATTTACTTTTTGTATTGTAATATCCAATCAATTGAATTACTATCGTTGCATGATGGTTTGCTGTTTGAGTAGCCTATAATCAATCAAAGTACTGGCTGCGTTTGATGGATTCCATCAGATCTCTATAATCCTTCTGTTCATTCTTGCGTAGCTGACCACCAGTGTTCCAAATATATGCTCTTCGGAGATCAATCCACTTGGCCTCCCCATTGACGCAGAAAATGTTATCCACTCGAGCATCCCCATGCACAATATTGTTGTCGTGGAGCTCTTGAAGAGAATCAAAAATAGCTTTCTTTGAAAGACTAGAATAGTGATTTCCAACTTCCGAAAACAAAAGAACAGCGCCCAACTTATCAAACTTCCTGAAAGAGTTCTCTTCAACGCCGACAATCAAGTGAGGACATTTTCGTTGAGCTTCATTAGTAATTGCCATTTGTCTTTGAAGTTCAGCCACTTTGTCATGGACATCGAGGACTATCTTCAATGCCAAGGCCGCTCCGTTCTGATCGCAGACTTTAAAAACTAGACCAAAAGCTCCGCCACCCAAGTATCCGTCCACTTCGGGTACTAGGCCCAACTCAAAGCAAGCCTTGTCGAGGATCTCAATCACGGGATCTTGCAGCATGAACTTTTCCAATCGTGATTTTGACCCGCCGTCGACCCACCGACACTTCCTAACAGAGGAAGCTGTTCCTTTTACAGTCTGAACTAGCCAGAAAGATTCTCGATCAAAAAGAACCAGGCGTACAGTGATGGGACTATTTTCTCCAAGAGACAGGTGAGCTCCGTAGTTGATGGTCTGTCCAAACGCTGAATCATCAATGTCCTTTTTGGCATCCAAGACCAAGTAGAGGAAGCGACGAAGGTCCCAGTTTGACAATTGCCCAAAAACATCCGTTGATCGGCGCATTTGAAGAAGCTTGTCGTCCTCCCTGGCATCAAATGGATCGCGTTTCTTGTAGATGGACTTGTGGCAGATAAACATGTCCGGGTTTTGGTTGTAGGCGGCACTGTTTTCATCATTAGATGTCTTCAACCACTTATATGCTTCAGAATTCACAAGAACTCTATTACTAGACGCCCCATTGCATTGGAAAAGAGCTGCAAGGAATGGGGTCAAAAAGGCAACCATTTGATGCTCCGTTTCTAGTTGCAACAGGCTACGCGCTTGCTCATTGGTGAGGACTGCTTCGCCTTTTCCTTCCTCATCAGGACTGTGCACATGTCCTAGTCTTTCCAGACGTCGAAGCTCGCCCGCCCCAAAGCTTGATGGACTTTTTTGTGGGGTAGCTCTGTTAGTTTTGGTAAGAGCCTCTTGAAATATTGCCGCAATCTCCTTTCGCATTTCTTCTAAGAGCGGAGTGTTCACGAAAGTGCGTTTCATCAACAATTCCATTTGACGAAGCTGGTTTTCCTCTTGCCAAAGCTGGCTTTCCTCTTGCCGAAGCTGGCTTTTCTTTTCCCAAAGCTGGCTTTTCTTTTGCCGATAGTAAGCTTTGTCATCGTCCGAAATGGTGGGGCTCTTGAGAGATTCGTTGACCTCCTCGATCTCCTTTGCTACCCTTTCAATGGCATTGCCTACTAGCTCGATTTCTCGCTCAATACTAGAGTTAGAGGACATTCTCATAACTTGAACAATGATGCTGCTATATCTATGGTTTCAGATGTGTGCGAGGATGTTGGTTTAGTCTTTGTCTATATATATAGTCAACGTGCATATATTTGGTGAGTATGGTGAGAGTATTTATACGATACACACGTATTAAAAAAAATTCTATTGACATATATATCATGACTATTTTTTATATTATCCACATAAAATATATCTTCGTTACAGCCAGTACGTGTACGTGTGTACACATCACGTACGTGGACATAGCGGTGCACATAAATCGCAATTGAAATTGTTGGAGTACTGGGCAAGCTTTTGTCACTCGTCCCTTGTAATGTTGAACCATAACCCAAGCATTGTGATGCGACCCTACTGTTAAGAAGGCTCTTGTTCGGGTCGTCCACTGCAGCGGTAGCCAACGAATGGCTGATCGCCAGTCGAGTCCACGAACCCCAAACCCAACCCTCGCTTCTATGACATTCATCAATTGCACATTTAGTAGCTCGAAAGACATTATCTCATTCTGCAATGGTTTGTTATTTGAGTTATCCAAACTATTGAGTTACTGTCGTTGCGTGATGGGTTGCTGTTTGAGTAGCCTATAATCAATCAAAGTACTGGCTGCGTTTGATGGATTCCATCAGATCTCTATAATCCCTTTTTCCCAGCTCGGAAACACTACCACCAGTGTTCCAAAGAAATGCTCTTTGAAGATCAATCCACTTGGCCTCCCCATTGACGCAGACAACGTTGTCCACTCGAGCACTCCCATGCGCAATATTGTTGTCGTGGAGCTCTTGAAGAGAATCAAAAATAGCTTTCTTTGAAAGACTAGAATAGTGATTTCCAACTTCCGAAAACAAAAGAACAGCGCCCAACTTATCAAACTTCCTGAAAGAGTTCTCTTCAACGCCGACAATCAAGTGAGGACATTTTCGTTGAGCTTCATTAGTAATTGCCATTTGTCTTTGAAGTTCAGCCACTTTGTCATGGACATCGAGGACTATCTTCAATGCCAAGGCCGCTCCGTTCTGATCGCAGACTTTAAAAACTAGACCAAAAGCTCCGCCACCCAAGTATCCGTCCACTTCGGGTACTAGGCCCAACTCAAAGCAAGCCTTGTCGAGGATCTCAATCACGGGATCTTGCAGCATGAACTTTTCCAATCGTGATTTTGACCCGCCGTCGACCCACCGACACTTCCTAACAGAGGAAGCTGTTCCTTTTACAGTCTGAACTAGCCAGAAAGATTCTCGATCAAAAAGAACCAGGCGTACAGTGATGGGACTATTTTCTCCAAGAGACAGGTGAGCTCCGTAGTTGATGGTCTGTCCAAACGCTGAATCATCAATGTCCTTTTTGGCATCCAAGACCAAGTAGAGGAAGCGACGAAGGTCCCAGTTTGACAATTGCCCAAAAACATCCGTTGATCGGCGCATTTGAAGAAGCTTGTCGTCCTCCCTGGCATCAAATGGATCGCGTTTCTTGTAGATGGACTTGTGGCAGATAAACATGTCCGGGTTTTGGTTGTAGGCGGCACTGTTTTCATCATTAGATGTCTTCAACCACTTATATGCTTCAGAATTCACAAGAACTCTATTACTAGACGCCCCATTGCATTGGAAAAGAGCTGCAAGGAATGGGGTCAAAAAGGCAACCATTTGATGCTCCGTTTCTAGTTGCAACAGGCTACGCGCTTGCTCATTGGTGAGGACTGCTTCGCCTTTTCCTTCCTCATCAGGACTGTGCACATGTCCTAGTCTTTCCAGACGTCGAAGCTCGCCCGCCCCAAAGCTTGATGGACTTTTTTGTGGGGTAGCTCTGTTAGTTTTGGTAAGAGCCTCTTGAAATATTGCCGCAATCTCCTTTCGCATTTCTTCTAGGAATAAAGTGTTCGCCACTTGTTGTTTCACTGGAATGGATGGCGTTGGAGGAGGAGGGGGAGTGCGTTGCATCACCAACAGCTTCAGTCTACGAAGCTGGCTTTCCTCTTGCCGAAGCTGGCTTTTCTGATGCTGATAGAAAGCATTGTCATCGTCGGAATTGTTGGGACTCTTGAGATATTCGTTGACCACCTCGATGTCTCTTTTTACCCTTTCAATCATGGCATTGCCTCCTAGCTCGATTTCTCGCTCAATACTAGAGGTAGTAGAGGAGGACATTCTCAAAACTTGAACAATGATGCTGCTATCGGTAGAGTTTCAGATGTGTGCGAGGTTTAGTCTGTGTCTATAGTCAACGTGCACGTATTGTTGGAATGTATGTTGAGAGTATACACGATACACACGTACTGATAGGACTACTATATCCACGGATGTATAAAATATAAAAGCTTCGTCTACAGCCAGGTACGTGTACCTGGTACCCGTTGCACATAAATCGCAATTGGTGCAGTACTGAGAAAGTTTCAAACCACCACAATCATTTTCGAATTTTCAATTTGAACTGAAGTGCAAATATACTATAAAATACGCACGCACCATCAATAATCTTATTGGCACTCACATCGTCCCCTGTTGAACCATAACCCAAGCATTCTGATGCGACCCTACTATTAAGAAGCCTCTTGTACCTTCAACGCGTTCCCTGAAAGACACTTTGTCATTCTCAGCAATGGAGAGGGCGACACAGAACAACAGCAACGATGAGAATGCCAATAACCAAGACGGAAATAATCAGTCATCTACTGCAAGTCACCAAATGTCTTCCACCATCGTGGCTTCCATCTTTGCCGCTGCTCCAAGGCTATTGATCGAGCTGAAGAATCAATTTCATTTGGAACCAAAGTTGGCGGATCTGCTACTGCCGTTTGTTCTTCCAGTCTTGGATAATAATGCTGCTAATATCAATCATGGGAACAATGCTACGCTGCAGCAATTTATGCAAAAACGACGATCCGAAATAAGCATCCCATCACTGCAACCGACTCTCTTCTTGGAGGGATCTACCAAGTGGCTTTCACAATTTGCAAAATTATCGGTAGATATGTTACCCGAAAGTGTGCGTCAAGCCATGCCACTTACTCTTGTACCATCCGACATTTCTGCCTCGTACATGGCAACAACCGACGACAACTACATCCCCAACAACAACTACTACTACTACAATATTCATCCATTGGCAGCCGAGCTGAAATTGCTCCTTCGATTTACTTGGGGACGAGTGCCAGCTCTTACACACTGTCCGGATGCCGACAATCCTTTCAATGTTCCATACTATCTATTTTGGCTGACGATTCAAAAGGGAAAGTCCTCCCTCCAGGGATTACCAGAAGTGTGTCAGTACATTGTCTTTCGACTACTCTTTGGAGCTACCAAAGGAACCGTTTCGTTTACCGAAATGACACGGACGGTGTCCCACATTTTGTACTTAGTGCAATTGGGGTCACTGTCAGCGTGTGCCCAAATAGCGGGACCAGACTTTTTGCAGCGACAACTTCAGCTAGCTGCTCAAGCACAATCCTCACAAGTGGTCCAATACGCAACTCCATTGTTGCAGAAATTGCAAGACTACCAAAACGCAAAGCTAGTGGAAGAAGGAAATACAGTCGTGACTCTTTGAATGGATTGGGGAGAAAAGAGAGCAATCTGCTGTAATACCTCTCGTTCTGCTAGTGCCCTTCGTAGAGTTGGAACCATCATCTGGAGTACCAGGCATGAGTGCGCTTGGGCTTGTTGCATGATGATTCAGCATTCAGAACGTGTAGCAGCATCATCTTCTAGCTTTTGGTATTTTCCTATTGCAACAGTGGTCACTCCAAAGTCGACCGAATGATTCTTGCAATTACAATCAAATGAGCACAAATGCAAAAAAGAAAGAATGGGAATCTTTACTAGTCTTTTTCGTAATCCTGATACTATTACAAATGCCCCTTGCAATTTTGGATAGGATCATAAACTCGCCCTCAAGGGATATTCAATCATCCAAATAGCTTGATAGAATCCAGTAGCGATCGTAATTCTCTATAACAATATCTTGCGCCGAGTTGGTTCTGGCCGTTCCCTATTCACAAGCCAAAGCCACCAAACTCTCTCTTGATTAGTGCCATGCGTTCGTTCGCTTCGTCCAATTCTTTTTGCAAAGAATTTCGATCCTTGCGGAGTTTCTTGTTCTTCATCTCGGCTTCCCGAAGCTTGGTAATAAGTACGTCCATGTTTTCGCTTCGAAGAGGATCACCCAGCTTTCGGTTCACTTCGTCCAATTCCTTGGTGAGCGACTGGACTTGGTCTAAGAGTTTGGCCTGCTTTTGATCGGAGGCTTCCGCTTCGCTCTTGCGCAACTCGTGTTCCTCGTTGAGGTGTTTGGTTAGTCTGGATACCATGGCAACCGACGCATCGAATTGCTTGTCTCTTGCCAAGCTCTGAACCTTCTCTTCTTCCAATTCACTAATGACCGCTTCCAGTCTCGTTCGTTTCATGTCTCCGTCCGTTCGCAGCTTGGCCAGCTCGTTCAGTTGGTTTTGCAACTTGGTGATAGTCCCGTTGAACTTGGACTTTTGTTCTCGCAAAAAGTTGACCTCTTCGGATAGGTGCCTATTCACATTTTGCAAGTCCAGCAGACCCAAGTCGGAAAGTTCCTTGTGCTTGGATTGAATTGCCTCCAATTCCTTAACCTGTTCTTCGTTCTTGACTTCAAGACTCTCATTCAATTGGTTCAGCTTGGCTATAATGCCCTTGAATAGCTTGTTGGCATACTTGTGTTCGTCCGCCTCCTTCTGGGCTTCCAAGAGTTGGGAGTCTACAGTATCATGATATTCCTTAGACGAGTCAGTCAGCTTCTCGAGCTCTGACACACACACCAGGTACTGCATTTGAAGTTTCTTCTCGCGTTCGTGAGACCTTTCCAACATTTGGAGGACATCTTTATTTCGTCCTTCTTCGCCAACGTCCACTCCGTCGACTTTCAGATGGTCGATGATACTTTCTTTGCTCTCCACGAGACTTAACAACCGTTCCTTGTCGGATGATGCATATTTCAACTTCTTCTTGAGTTCTTCAACTTCGGCAAGTACCTCAGAATGCTCCTTGGTCTTCTCTTCCGCCAAGATAGCACGATTCAGTGCTTCCTCCTTTTGCTTTTGAAGAGTGGCACCCATGGCTTCGAGTTCTTCCACCCGAGAGGTTAACACCTTGTTGGTGTCTGTTGTTTGTTGCAGAATCGAAGTCAAGGAAGTGACTGATGCTTTCAATTGTTCGTCCCGGTCCATGATTTGCTGGTATTCCTTTTCCTTGCTGGAGTTTGAATTTTCAAGTTTCTTCATTTTCGATTCCAATTCCAAGACTTGCTTCGACAAAGCTTCATTCAAATTTCGAGCAGAATCAAGGTCCTTGTCGAATGAGTCTTCAGGTGCGACACCTGCGTACTCTGCCTTGATCAAAACTGCAGTTTCATCAGTGTGAATAAACTTGTGATTGGGATCCGAAACCATACGATCGACTTCCTCTCGTAACTCAGACTCCCGGTACAGGCAGTCATACAACTCTACAATTCACCAAAGACGATAGGAAGAAGAGTTAGCAAATGACACAAGAATACTCGGAAGCGAAAACGGACAAGCTTACCAGTTGACAAGCACGACAACATGTATCTTTCTTGTTGAAGTTTGTCTTTGTACGACACGATTTCATTTCTGAGCGCGGATTCTGTTTGCTTTGCTGTCTCAAGTTCTTCATTTATTGACCTCTTCAATGACTTGAGTTCTGCTTTCACGCTGGACTCATTTGCTGTTGCCCCGATTAGTTCTCGGTGAAGTCTTCTCTTGTACATTTCTAGATCTTCTTTCAGACTATTTTCACTCAAAGTTGCATCATCAAGCTTGGATTTCAATTCCTTCATTTCGTCCTTCAGCGGACTGTTCTCCAGTAACTTAGCAAGTTTCTTCTTGTCTTGCTCAAGTGCCGCAATTTGCCCCTGCAATTCGGGAATCTTCATTGAAATTGAAAAAGCATTCTCTGTGTTGGAACGCTTCAGATCGCTTTCTAGCTTCGCCACTTTTGCAATTGCAGTTTCGGCCTCTTTCTTCTTTTCTTCCAGCGAGCTTCGTAATTCAGTTGTCGTTTCATCAAATGTTATTTTTGCATTAGCTTCCCGTGCAACAGCTGCAGCCAATTCGGTGGTGATTTCACCCACTGATTTTTTGCACTCCCTCGTCAGTTTTTCAGCTCTTTCAACTGCGGCTTCCCGCTGTAAATTCACAGTCTGGAGCGTTTCTTCCAAGTTTGCATTCTCCACCGCCAATTTTTCAGTTTGCCCCTTCAGCTCGCGGATATATACAGCTGGAGTTGGCTGGGAACTCAACACCAATTGAACCAGACTCTCCCTTTCTGGAACGAAGTCCAAAAACTGCTCGATGCTGATATTCTTAAGTTCCTCGACGTTGAATGAATGAATTTCCTTGTCATCGTGCAGAAGTGCCATCTTGATCTCTGAAGTGCTCTCCTTCACAGCTTCCTCAACGCTTGGAGGCCACTCGAGGATGTTTTCGTCGAGCACAATCTCATGGAAGAAAACGCCATCATGCATGCTTACATCTCGCGAGACGGGAACCAAGATATCCTTAAACCGTTCGCTCGCTTGGTTGGTTATGCGAATGCGGAGTTGAGATGTGGACTCATCTTCCTGAGTCCCATTTCGTTCGCGAACAGGAGATGCGTTGGTGGCAGTGGAAGTGGCTGTGACTTCCTTTTGCTCGCACCAGAGCAAAAAATGATAGACACTTTGGCGTTCACTCATCATTCCAACAAGTTCATTGGTCTTCACAGACTTCAAATCCTCAAGAGAGAATGGACGAATCATAGTGCCATTGGTGTCCGCCAGCGCGCATTTGATTTCGGCCACCCCAGCCTTCACCTTTTCCGCCATTCGGTCCGGCCATCGTCGAATCAACCCTAACCGCAGTGCATCGTTTTCATATAATTCGTCAAACAAGCTCAAAGCATCCGATTCAGGAATGACAAGTTCTTGGAAACGGCCAGTGGCAATATTCCTGACTTGTGTTCGAATATAACCCTTGTGCTTTGGAAGACTTAGCGATTCAGTTTTCAGTGCTGGTTCCTCGATATGGCGTTTCGGAATTTCACTATTGCCGTCTCCCTTGCACTTCAATACCAGTTGAATAATATCCATTGGATTTTCCGCAAGGTTCAAAAGCTGGTCAGTAGTAATAGTCTTGAGTTCATCTATGGAAAACGTCTTCCGTTCCTTGCCTCCCGACATGACAGCACAGTGGATCGAGTGGGTCTTTCGTGCCACATGTTTGCACACGTGATCTGGCCACTTTCGAATGTTAGCAGACCGAACAATGTCATGATTGTAGACACTGTCGTACAAGTTTGCCTTTTCAGAGATCGGGACAAGAATGTCCTTGATCCGGCCAGTCACGTTATTGCTGATGCGAATGCTCTTGATTTTCTTGGATTCCACATCATCATCCTTGACATAGCGAATTCTCAAGATTAGCTTGACCTTGGCGAATGGATCAGCTAAAAGCGAATGGAAGAGCAGTGTTGTGCAGAGCTTGAGCTCCTTGACCGAGAACACCTTGATACCATTTCCTTGTCTATCCAACAGAACGGACTGAACTTCAATATTCCTCTGTTTGGATGCTTGTGATACTTCTGGCGGCCATCTCCGAACATTGGACGATCTCATGGCCTTGCAATTATATACCCCATCGTACATGGTCAAGTTTTGAGTCACCATGACAAACAAATCAGTCTGCCGACCCGTCATTTCATTGATAATCCGAATATCCATTTCACCGCTTTTTCGTTGTCGTGATGATGTGTGGGCAGCCTGGCTGATCTTTGCAGCAGTTTTTGCTTGGGACCGTTCCAAGATTTCAATGTGGCTGTGTACCTTGTCCCGAATATCCTTCAGTTCTGACAAGACAGTTGCCACGTCCAGTTCATTCTGATTGATGGTAACTTTCTCGCCTGCGCCACCCTTCTTGAGAATGGCTTGATCAATGAGCTGATCAGTTTGCTCTTGAAGCATCCTCATTTTCTTCAACACTGCCATTGGTCCTTCCGTATTTGTACTTGTATTTCCATTTCCAGTGGAACTGGGTTCGGGGCTCGCTCCAGAGCCTTCGAGTTGCTCAACCTTCTTTTTCAGCATTTCGACTAGATGTGTCAAATCAGAGTTCTTGTTCGTTTCTTCATTGAATAAGCCTTGCAATTTCTTGGATTCTTTCACTACTTGATCCATTTGATCTCGGACTGATTGAAGCTCCATCAGTAGCTCCATTTCATTGGCCGAATCCAGAGTGGAGGCCGAATCTTCACCCGATTTCAACCCTGAAATCTTGGTTTCGAGCTGGGCCACTTGTTTGAGCAAAATATCGTTTTGCTGTAAGGCCTGTTTCAAGGAGGCTCCTTTTTCGTTGGCGCTCTTGGCTTGAGCTTCCTTTTCGGCAGTCGCATCGGCCAAATCTTGCTCCAAGACAGCGACTTGGGCTTGCAGGGCGGCAAATCCAGTATTGGAGCCAACCAGTTGCATCGATAATCGCTGCAAGGACTCTTGGTCAAGCCTATCCCCAGACTTTTCCTTGCGAAGCTGTTGGACCTGTTTCAGCAACTGATTCGCCCTGCTTTCCAGTTTGCGGCGAAAGGCCATTTGGGTGGAAACGACTTTCTGAAGGGTCCTCACTTTGCCTTGCAGATTGCGAATGACGAAATCTCCCAACTCGGCAAATCGTTTGCGGTCGTCAGATTTCGTAATTTCTTCGCTTCCCAAAAGTTGTCTGGGTGACTCTTGTTTCCAAGCATCAATAATCTGTTGCAACTCTTGCACTTGCTCTGTGAGGGTCACATCACTACCACCCACTTGTGTCATGGGTGTATTCTCTTCCACAATGGTCAATTCGCGCATGTTGGCCGAGAGTTGCTGCTGCTGCAAACGAGAATCCTTGAGCTCTTTCTCGAGAATGGCTTGGGTTTCATTGGCACTCTTGGTCAATTTGGCATTGTTGGACTGCAAAGAATCCAATTCGACTTGCAAGATCGACTCTCGGGCTTGCGCCTGTCGCAAATCTTTCGAAACTTTGGCCAGACTTGGATCAGCAGACGGGTCACCACTGTTGGCAACCTTTGTCTCCAATTGTTCTTCGAGAGACTCGCACAGCTGAGTAAGCTCTTTCTTGGTCGTTTCATCACGTTCACACTGTTCTTTCAGTGTTTTGTTGACTGTTTCGAGGGATTCCAATCGCTCTTGCCACATGGCTGCTTGGTCTTCTTGAGCAATCTCAGAAGACTTGGCTTCCAGAGCTTGTTTGATTAGACCAAGTTCCTTTTGCATGGCTGCCTTGTCTTCTTCGAGACTCTTGATGAGATCCTTCCATTCCTGTTCTTGCTGTATATGGAGTGGCTTGGTTTGCACAGAATGCAATGAAGAAGAAGAAGAGTTGCCATCGATGCTGTCCAAACTCGAGTTTTGTATCTTGGATTTTTGATCCGTCACCTTTTGACGAGTCTCGCGGACTTTGGCCCGCAAGGTTTCCAACCGAGAAGGAGTAGAATCGTTTTTGGAATTCGGAGAAGCGTGGGGCGAGACCGACAACCCAGCGGGTGGGTTCCCAGGGGACATCTTTCAACGCTCAAGTTGTTGTTGCCTCGCTTTTTGCCTGCTGTTGTTTTTTGTTCGTTCCTCCAGTTGTGTATCCGTTGATTTGCACTATTCCTAGTTTTCGCCCATTTCAGTGCACGGTATTCTAATTTAGTCGTCCTCTGTAGTGTCTACTACACTGCAACTGCGGGTTTCCAATGAGAGACGAGAGCTTCCACTGTACCCTTTGCTGTTGTTGCTTTTGGACTATGGTATTATGCAGTAGCACAATATACCGCATTGAAATAAGCGGCGACTTTTGATCGGCGGGGGCGTTTCCAAACGAAATGACTTCCGAATGATAAATGTGATTCAATACATAACATTTATGACTGATCTGCGACACACAAAACGCATGAAGAATGCATCTATGGGACACTTTGATTTTTGATTACTTGATCCTCGCACACACATTATTGGCTGCCATTACACTACGTGTACAAACAGGAAGAGTAACCAAGGTACTGCAGCTAGCGAATCACAGAAGCACTTTTTGGATAATAATTCTGCTAATGCTTTTAATAGCTAGCCTTATAACGTTATTCCCCAATTCCCTACTTACTTCCCAATTCCCTTCTTACTCCCCAAATCCCTTCCCTTCTATATCTCAAACAATTCAGTAGCGAACAGCAGGCCACCCTCTTGGCTCTGCTTCATCATGTCCAATTCCCTCTGCAACCGATTATACTTTGCCATGGAAGCCGCTAGCTCGTTCGATAAAACGCACATGGAGTTTTGCAACTCTTCATTGCGTAGTCCAATGGAGTTCACCTCACTTTCCAACTCTTGTACTTGGTTATTGGCCGTTTCCTGGCATCGGATCAATGCCTTCATCAAATCCTGACGCCGGGATGTCAGTTCAAAGAATCTCTTGGTACTCATTTGCTTCAAAGCGTTCACGCTGAATGTTCGGACGTCCTTCCCCGTGTCGTGCCATACGATACAATGGATGTTCGAGGTTTTGTCCAGAATATCCTCGTCACTGCCTCCCGTGTAAACGGCATCAAATACAGTGACCCGATCGTCGATTGCAATCACAAAGTCTTTGGACAGCTGAGTTGTTTCGTTCGTCACACGGAGCCTCATTTCCATATTTGCCTCTTCGTCGGAACGCCAACCCCGTTGGCGGAAACCGACAGGTTTGAATGAGACATCTTTGCTGAGCTCGTCGCGATCGTCCTCTTCTTCGATTACATGGTCTACCACAGACTTGTAATCGGGCATGATCGATGAGTTGGCGGCGACTTCCAAGATTTCAATCTCTTTCTGGAGTTGGACTACTTGGAGCTTTAGACTCTCGTTCCGTTCAGTTGCTTGCTCCAGTGCCTTTTCCTTTTGTTCCAACATTTCTATTTGCTGCTTTGATTTCGTGACCATCTCGCTTCTTGGTGACTGCGGTCTATGGTCATTTGCTCCTGCCCGCAGCTCGTCCAACTCTTGTGACAGTTGCTCATTCCAACTTGTTGCTTCATCTAATGCTTCTAGCTTATCAGCAAGAAGTTCCGATCCGCTCTTTGCCTGTTGTGAAGCAATGTGAAGTTGCTTTTCGAGAGTCGATACTCGTGATTCCAATACGTCCACAGCTTCAACCTTTTTCACACGCAAAACGAATTTCACCATGTCTTTTGGTCGAGACATGCGCTCAAAGATTTCGACAGTTGTTGTCTGGTGCAAATCATCTACTGTAAAAGACCGAATGGCAGTCCCTTCATCGTCAATCAAAATGTCAGTGTCTCCAAAATAGTTAGTCGTCTGGCCAATAGGACCATAATGTGGGATGAAAACATCGGCGAGAATCTCGCAAGCCTTTTGCTTCACTTCCAAAGCAACTTGAGATGGAAACTGTCGGATATTTGTGCGTTGGACGCTTTCCGCGTTGTAGACAGCGTCAAACAGCGTCAAGCTATCCGAAACAGGGATGATCAGGTCTTTCCAACGCCCAGATGATTCATTGATCAGGCGCACTCGGAAATCTGATACGACAGACTTCATGGGCAACCACCCACGCTGCCGGAATCCAGTAGGCTTGAAAGAAAGAGGGAGTTTTTTAACAACATTCGACCTGCCCTCGGGAGTCATTTCGTTTTTCGACATTACAATCTTCTTTTCCAATTCGCCATTACCTGTCGACTCCTTAGCAAAAGGCACTTCCTCATTGATAGAGTCACTATTATGCCAAATGCCGATTTCCGATGACACAGTTAATTCGAATCCCAGACAGGCGAGAACCTCGAAATAAATGCCTAGATTCTGCTTCTCCGCTTCTTTTTTCTTAGAGACACCATTCTGTGTCATGCTGATTTCGGATGATGCAGTAGTCTGCGTCAATTCAAATCCCAAACAGGTCAGGACCTCGCAATAAATGCCAAGATTCTTTGTCTCCACCTCTGCTCTCGTAGAGCCACCATTTGGCGGCATCCTGGTATTGGATGATGCAATTGTGTCCGTCAATTCGAATCCCAAACTGGAGATAACCTCGGAATAAATGCCAAGATTCTGCTTCTCCATCTCTGTCCTTGCGGCTTTGACTCTCGAAGATGGAAGACCTTCAGGATAAACGTCAAGACTCTGATTAATTGCGTTCAGTGTGAGTGCTTTGAATCCCAAAGATACGTGCACCTCTGGATACATAGCAAGGGTCTGCTGCTTTGCCTTCTGCTGAATGACATTGAACCCCAAAGACATGAGTACCTCTGGATACAAAGCAAGATTTTTGTTGCTCTTTCCTTCAGCACTTCCAAGTAGATCTCGAGTTTCGAGACGAGCTTCACCGGATTCAATCTCCGCCTCAGTTGGCAAACTAGCTTGAAATTGAACATGTGGAGTAGCGAACTCGATCTCAGTAGGTGGCTCTTGTGCCGTGGTCACACTCTTTGTCTGCATGACTTCATTTGTGATATTTTGCAGAGACTTCTCTATTTCACAACTATTGTCATCTTCGTCGACATCAATGACTACAACTCGAGTCGCCACATAACGGAGGGAGAGGTCAATGCGTCCGCAAACACTCGATTGATCGAGAAGTTGTTTAACAGGCGT